TCATCTATTACCTTACTCTATCTATTACCTTACTGTATCTATTACCTTACTGTGTCTATTACCTTACTGTATATATTACCTTACTGTATCTATAACCATACTGTATATATAACCATACTGTATCTATTACCATACTGTATCTATGATCTGACTGTATCTGTTTCCTTACTGTATCTATTACCATACTGTATCCATTACCATACTGTATATATTCCCATACTGTATCTATTATCTTACTTTATCTATTACCTTACTCTATCTATTACCTTACTGTCTCTATTACCTTACTGTGTCTATTACCTTACTGTATCTATTACCTTACTGTGTCTATTACCTTACTGTATCTATTACCATACTGTATCTATTATGTTACTGTATCTATTACCATAATGTATCTATTATCTTACTGTATCTATTTCCTTACTGTATCTATTACCTTACTGTGTCTATTACCTTACTGTATCTATTATCTTACTGTGTCTATTACCATACAGTAACTATTACCTTACTGTATATATTACTAAATGAAAACTTACACTCCATCCTGGAGGTCGCCCGTCTCACACACGACCGCCTCTATGACGTCACTGTCCGACATGGCGTTATCTAGTTCAACAGTTCCTTCTATAGTCGAGGGCGATACTTCAACTTCAGTAACGTCACTGTCGGCTTCAGAATGAGATATTACCTCGACTACGGAGGTGGAGTTGTGTTGCTCCGTGAGAATGACCTCAGTGGAAAGAGTATTTGTTTCCTCAACAGCAACAAGGGGAGATGTGTTCTGCGAATTACCGTTCGGAGTATCGTCCGGAAGCGATGTTGGAGCCCAATCCCACGGGCTTTTACCGTCTTTATATTTTGATACGGGTTTCACAGGGCAACTGTTAGACTGTTTGACTGCACTCTTGTCAGGAGGTTTGACCACTGGTTGGTCTACAGGTTTGACCGCCTCTCTGACGTCACTGTTTGTATTGGTGAGCTGTGGCGAGCTATTCACAGAAGCTGAAATTGAGAGTGAAACACAATATATTTCAATCGCAACGCTGTGACCATTATATCTACATTTAACACACGGCATGTGAACAAGAGTGACGTATGTGACAGTTATAATGACGTCGTGTGTCGATTTGAACAAGTGACCTCTACTCGATTGTTTTATAGCCTCGTTGCTACGTACAGAATTCCTAGGTTGCTATGGGGTGATACATTTTGTATATAAAGTATATGTGGCCAGTCGGATGTATTACCTGGGAATATCTATGGATACATTGTAAGTGATTTAACCCGTTGTATATTAGACCCGGACAGTACCTGATCAAATGTTTGGTAAGAGTGTTCTGAATGACAGTACGCTCATCTTTAAATCTTTTTAATACTTTGTAAACCAAGTCAAGTGCGATGAACATTCTCCTATAATATACGCTATGAGGCCTCTCGATAGGAAGGGAACGTCTGGTGTCCAGTTTATAGGAAACACTGTGCAACACGTGTTTCCTTTTCCTGTCCATGTTTATGTTGTTTTAATGGAGATATTAACACGCGAGCGATCATAAAGTACATGTATATGTATTAACACTGGTGTATATAGGTGTGTTCGAACATCAATCACACTCTGTAGCATAAGGATATTGTCTAGTCAACGCTATTCATATGCATTTCACAACCACATGAAAGTGTACACGTCAGGTGTGCGGTCACACAGACTATAACACGGTACCGGTACTGTACACGTCAGGTGTGCGGCCACACAAACTATTACACGGTACCTGTACTGTACATGTCAGGTGTGCGGCCGCACAAACTATTACACGGTACCTGTACTTTACACGTCAGGTGTGCGGCCACACAAACTATTACACGGTACATGTACTGTACACGTCAGGTGTGCGGCCACAGAAACTATTACACTGTACCTGTACTGTACATGTCAGGTGTCAGGCCGCACAAACTATTACACGGTACCTGTACTGTACACGTCAGGTGCGCGGCCACACAAACTATTATACGGTACATGTAATGTACACGTCAGGTGTGCGGCCCCACAAACTATTACACGGTACATGTACTGTACACGTCAGGTGTGCGGCCACACAAACCATTACACGGTACCTGTACTATACACGTCAGGTGTGCGGCCCCACAAATTATTACACAGTACCTGTACTGTGCATGTCAGGTGTGCGGCCACACAAACTATTACACAGTACCTGTACTGTACACGTCAGGTGTGCGGCCACACAAACTATTACGCGGTACCTGTACTGTACATGTCAGGTGTGCGGCACACAAACTATTACACGGTACCTGTTCTGTACACGTCAGGTGTGCGGCCACACAAACTATTACACGGTACCTGTACTGTACATGTCAGGTGTGCGGCACACAAACTATTACACGGTACCTGTTCTGTACACGTCAGGTGTGCGGCCACACAAACTAGTACACGGTACATGTACTGTACATGACACTTTGTATTTAGTATAATAACGATAACAGACCAGTAATTTGGAGACATTATTTCTTATAAACCACTTCACACTACCGGCCTATGTACATATCGTTATATGCACACAGATTCAGTTTGATCAACTCACAAGGTTTGATAACGATAACAGATCAGTTAAGTGTATACTAGTCTATGCATGTATTTACACCAAAGATATCATAAAGTACGTCGATTATATTTAAACGATTTTGTCAAGAAGTGTTTTCGATTACATTATTACTAATATATATTAAAATTGCATGTATTACATTCATCTTAACGACTAATATCCGGGGAGAAAACATTGCCCCCTACAGAAACAACGTCCTTACTGATATATTTAACAAAATCGAAATAGCAGCGCATATCGACAAAGCGTTTAAAACAGGCAGGTTAGCCACTGTATCTGTGTGAAATATTGTATATCTTCAGATATATCCTTCTACTTTAAGACTCGTCTACCTGCACTTCCCAGGTATATGTTGTTCCAACTACACAACTTGTAAACTCTATAATTATGTATGCATCAATAAGTTATAATGCATATCACTTCCCCTAAGCTATACAAAAGTACGTAAGAATTATTTATAGATGTTAAATAAAGTGATGTCTTACCTTGGGAGGTGTGTGTAATGGCCAGGTGTTAAACTCCACACTACCATGTGACATCCAGTACATATGATTTTATGAATTTGTGTATTGACAGCTTCATGAACTAGGATATATATGTGTCGGTCACTGTCACTGGGAGTGTGTATTATATGGTAAACATGGCGAGTGATAAGAGGTGATTGATATATAATGTATTGATGTCAACAGTCGTGCTCAACACAAATCACAGATGGGGAGAACGTACTACATTGTCTATGGGTAAAGTGTACTTCCCCACAACACAAATCACTGATGGGGAGAACGTACTACATTGTCTATGGGTAAAGTGTACTTCCCCACAACACAAATCACTGATGGGGAGAACGTACTACATTGTCTATGGGTGAAGTGTAATTTGTCTTCCCCAAAACACATATCAGTGATGGGGAGAACGTACTACATTGTCTATGGGTGAAGTGTAATTTTTCTTCCCCAAAACACAAATCACTGATGGGTAGAACGTACTACATTGTCTATGTGTGAAGTGTAATTTGTCTTACCCAAAACACATATCAGTGATGGGGATAACGTACTACATTGTCTATGGGTGAAGTGTAATTTGTCTTCCCCAAAACAAAAATCACTGATGTGGAGAACGTACTACATTGTCTATGGGTGAGGTGTAATTTGTCTTCCCCAAAACACAAATCACTGATGGGGAGAACGTACTACATTGTCTATGGGTGAAATGTACTTTCCCACAACACAAATTACTGATAGGGAGAACGTACCATATTGTCTATAGGTCAAGTAAACTTCGCCTTCCCCACAACACAGTCAATGATGGGGAGAACATACTATATTGCCTATGGTTGTAGTGTACTTGCCCCGACACAAATCACTAATTGGGAGTACGTACTATATTGCCTATAGTTGTAGTGTACTTGCCCCAACACAAATCACTAATGGGGAGTACGTACTATATTGCCTATAGTTGTAGTGTACTTGCCCCGACACAAATCACTGATTGGGAGACGTACCATATGTCTATGGTTAAAGTGTACTTGCCCCGACACAAATCACTGATGGGGAGTACGTAAGGAGTTACATTGTCTATGGGTGAAGTGTACTTGTCTATGTTATGTATGGATGTCAGTACAATTTAAGACGATCAAAATCATAAAAAAATAAGTGTAGCTTTATAAATGTTCAATTTGCTTCAAAAGCATGCATGGTCCATCAGTTTTCTTATCCAAAACGTTTCCTGTGAGTGTGAAGTCAGAAAATGTCTTCGATGAGGAGAATGTATTAGGTATATATTGTGTACGAGTCATGCCTCGCTAGACATAACTATGAGACCTTGGAGCGTGGCGTGACGGAATTAAATTGCTTTTCTGCGACCCTCGAAACTGATTGCAACCCTTAAACGTAATATATACTACTTATTACACAACAGAAAGGTTGTGTATCTCTACATTCTGTAATTGATTCCAGAGTCCCTGCTTTTTGCCGCCCTCAGCAGAACGCAAATTAGCAGCTAAACCAACCACAATACACCTGTCTATCTGTCTCTTGCACTCATATTTTAACGGTCACTAAATTGATATTTAACAAAATTACCAGGAAGTCTCAAGAAACGGCTCAGCGTAATATAGAACTACATTCACAAAAAAACGCAACCCAACCTTGAATGAATGAAATGACTTTGTCATATTAATAAAACAATATGACTTGTAAATTACGATGAATATACATTGTTTAATCTCTAAAAAGGGAAAACACGACACAGATTCACGCCAAGGTGGACATTAACTTTGTATGTAGGATCTAGTGCGCTTATGACTGTATAATTTTGGATATGTTTTGGTGCAAATTTGTGAACAAGGATAGCCCTTCAGCACATCAAGCTGTATCTGCATAAAATCAATAAGCTCATCTTTGTTGAAATTACATATTTCTATGAGAAAGTCAATAAAATGCTGAACAACTATTAAAGTACCTTATTTACGTGTAGTCCGCGCCCTACAAGTGTTTACCAACTTGGAGTCCTATCAACAACACAACTTGATGACGTAATACACATACATGTTTGTAGTTTTAGGGGATTCTCCAAATTCACACACAAACACGTCCTATCGGTTGTTTTACGCAATACTAGATTGAATTTTTGTTTGTTTGTTTGTTTGATTTTGTTTAACGTCCTATTAACAGCTAAGGTCATTTAAGGACGGCCTCCCCTGTGTGCAAGATGCATGCATGTAGTGTATGTGTGTGTATTTTGGGAGNAAGCGTAACTATAGGGCAACTATACGCCATCGCATCATCTTTAAATAAATCAAATACCATCATCATATAAAGTTACGAGTGAAACCCTAAGCCAACCCTGTATACTATATATAAATATATAAGATGAATCACAGTCTTAACCATCGTCATAATGATAAGTCAAAGTTACGAGTGAAACCCTCAGCCAACCCTGGACTATATAAGATGGATTTGTAGAGTCCTAGTTAAGACGTGAATCCCTAAGCCAACTCAGACTAGATCTAACTATACGTCGTTAAGTGGCTGGTGATTTACCGAATACACTTTTTGACTCGTCACAGTGTTAATGTCGATGTCGATGGCAGGTGTTATTTGATGATTATGGATGACGGAATTGTCTATTATGTACTCTTAACCGCGACTATCTGACACATTTCAATGCTAATTCACTATGGTCAACGACTACCGATGTAAGATTTTTTTTCTATTACTGGCGAGATACCATGTACGGGCAGTTTTTGTCAATGTCTACGACAACGAATGACAGACTGTTCCTGTTGACAAAGGTACATATACTTATCGTGAATGAGAGAGACGGGGAAAACCAACAAAACCCCTCTTGTACGTAGAAGAAATGGTATTCAACTGTTTATCAAGACGA